GAGAAGTGTACAAAGGCCAAGGTGAGATAACTGCAGTCACAGAAGACTGGGGAGGTGAGGGAAAAAGGATTGAAAGGGGCAAAAGCAATATTGGGAAATTAATGAGGGTTTTCCAAAACTGATTTAAAAAAATCAAGCCACATATTTAAGAAGCTCTATGAAATCTATGTAGGATAAACACACACACACACACACACACACACACACACACAATCTGGGCTCATCTTAATAAAACTTGTAAAAAATATACTAGAGAGAATATTTTAAAATCAGCCAGAGGAAAAAAGTCTGTTACCATCAAAGAAGAACCAACAAAACTGCTAGCAAAGTTTCCAACAACAACAACAAAAAAACAATGGAGGTGCTTGAGCTCAGGAGTTCGAGACTAGTCTGAGCAACAGTGAGACCTGGTCTCTACTAAAAATAGAAAAAATTAGGCGGGCATTGTAGCACGTACCTGTAGTCCCAACTACTCACTTGGCTGAGGCAGGAGGACTGCTTGAGCCCAGGAGTCTGAGGTTGCAGTGAGCTATGATGACGCTATTGCACTCTAGCCCAGGTGACAGAGCAAGACTCTGTCTAAAAAAAACCAATATATAATAGAATGATATTATTAAGTGGCAAAAAGAAATGAGTTTTTTGTGCCAAGCAAAAATAATCTTTATATATTATGTTAAATAAAGTTTTCAGACAAACAAAACAAGAATTCATCTCCAGCAAATTCACATCGAAAGACAGGAGTTACTCAAGCAAAATAAAAATGATTCCAGACAAAAATAAACAAATGCAGGGATGGATGAATATCACTGCAACAGATGAAAGTGTGGGTAAATCTAAATAAATATTGACTGTATTAGAGAATAATAATGTCTTTGGGGGTTTAAATAATACATAGAAATAAACTTCATTAAAACAGTAGCAGAAAAGGCCGAAGGGACTGAATAGTGTCAAAATGTCCTATAGTCACAACATTAACAGGAAAGTACTAAAAAAACACTCATTTACCATAAATTCAAGTAGGTCAAAGATGCATGCTGTAAAATCTAGGATAATTACTGAAAGAATGATAAAATAATGTGTAACTAACAACCTAATAGAGAAGAAATGGAATAATAATTTGTAATATAATTAATTTAACCCCCAAAACCTATGCAAATTAGAGAAAAATAGACCATGAAAACTGGCAGAATGCTATGGTCTGAATGTTTGTGTCCCCTACAAATTCGTATGTTGAAATCTTAACAGCCAAGGTGATGGTTTTAGGTGGCGGGACTTTGGGAAGTGATTAGAAGGGCCTTTGGGAGGTGATTAGACCTCATAAGTGGGATTAGTGTGTGAACTAAAATAAAATTTTAAGGCTCACCCCCCCACCGGCTGACTAAATGGACCCCCTCGTGGCCAAAGGAATATCCCAAAACTAAATTGCCTGCCAGGAGGAAGGAGGTCAGACATGCCTTATCATGCCCCCCTCCCTTCTTGGTGACATCCTTTATAACCCATTAACAGGCCTAAGGGTATGCAAGACAAACCTGCAGGTCCTCAATTTACACAACAAATCTATGTCCGGTGGCTTATCTCTGATAAAGAGCTCCTTATGTTGAAACATTCCAAACCTCTAGACAAAGCTTCATGTCTTTTACCAATTACAGGCCAAAGAATCTTTTAACCCACCCATAACCTGTAAGCCCCCGCTTTGAGATGGCCCACCTTTTTGGGCCAAACCAATGTATGCCTCCCACGTATTGATTTATGACTTTACCTGTAACCCCTGCCTCCCTAAAATGTATAAAACCAAACTGTAACCCAGCCTCAGCGAGTCCACTTGCTCAAGGCCTCTTGGGCGTGGCCCCGGGTCATGGTCCTCAAATTTGGCTCAGAGTAAATCTCTTTAAAATTACTTCACAGAGTTTGGTCTTTTTTTTCCGTTGACAAGTGTCTTTAAAAAAGAGCCTGAGAGAAATCCCTTACCCCTTCCACCATATGAGGTTACAGCAAAAAAGCGCAGCCATCAATGAACCAGGAAATGGCAATCGCCAATAAATCAGGAAGCATTTCCCTGATGATTATGTCACCTCACTGCTTCATGAAGCAGTGAAGGAAAAGCATGGGAGGGCCACCCTAGAGCCCCAGGGCAGTGTGGCCTGAGATCACTTCTCCCCTCCCAGCCTGCAGTCCTGACACTCCCTCTAAACTGGACTTTTGGGGCAGGAAACATGGTCAGTCAGGCTAAGAAGGGGCCCACAAAAGGGAGGAGGGAGGTGGTCCATGGGTAAAAAGGTATTTTGGTATTAATACTATTCCATGAGCACAGAGTTGTTTTCCTCATGCCCACATTCAAGCCATGCCCACATTTAGGTGGGGAGAATATTGTGGGAATAGGACATGTACACACAGGGATAGTTTGATACTAATGTGCTTCTCTCCATTCATCTCTGATTTTCCTTCGACTATGTCAATGCAAGACATACGCTGGACAATAAGGGCGAAAAACTCAGGATTGAGGAACAGGAAAAGACTAAGGTGTTTGATACTGATCTGCAAGTCAAGCCAGAGCAGTTTTCTAGAGGTCTTGCCAAGATCTCGCCCATTTCGTGTAGAAAATTAAGGGCTTCTCGCATAGAGAAAACATGTGCTATCAATTAGAATTTATCCTCCTACCTCAGTCTTGACCCTCTTTGCCCACTTTCCTACTTCGGTCCCCTCCCCTAGTCCGCCCACTTCGGTGTGCCTCCGGGTTGTAGAGATGAACTTGTAACTCTTAGAACACTTTGGTATCCGTCCGCCTGGCAGGCTAGAACTCATTTCCTGACGTCGCAGCCCGAAACCCGTATGCATTGCAGTTTGGAAAAAAATGGTAGGCTTGGTGGGGGAACTCCTACAAGAAGGCGACTAATACCGATACACTTTGGTATTTGTCCGCTTCTCTCAGTTCAGCGCTGTTTTCCCCATTCGGATTGAGCCCCCGCGCGTTTCAGTACCGGAGACGGGCAGAGCGGCGGTGCGCAGTCCACTGACATGAAGAGAAGCGACACTAGGCAAAGCTTGGTATCACTCCGCTTCCGTAAGCCGGATCCCCTTAAACTGCTCCTTAGCTCCGCCGGCTGCCGATTTGGCTAATGGGGACGTGGCCGAGCCGAGTCTGCGGAGGAAAAGGTAGATATTAATTGTTCACTACGCGCGTGGTCCTGAGGAGCCCTGGGAACGGGAATGAGAAGGGAATACCAAAAAGTGACAGTAGTTTGCCAATCACGGCCTTAATCTGATAAAACAGATATCTCGTCCTAAGTCGCAGGTGCCGGGGCAACCCCCAAACACAGTCGCCGCCATTGCCTCCAGTCCTTGTGTCCGTCTGACTATCCGTCCCTTTTTCTATATGGCACGGCACCCCTTGAGGCAAGGAAATAAGAAAACTGCTTCTGATCAAAGCAGAGCAGGTCAGTGAGAAGGCGGGCATCACTTGGGGGTGTGGATATGGGTCTCGGAGGTGAATGCGGGATACGAGGTCAAGTTGGGGGCGGGTGGCGACAGGGAGAGGCAGGAGTACTTTGAGTGACACTTAGCAGTAAAAAGTGAGCTGCTTCTTGCTAGCTTGATTTCCAGACACTCGCCCCACTTCCGACCATGTTTGGGAAGGGAAAAGGGTATAGTAGCCCCTTCTAGCAGGGAAATGGCGGAGTATATAAAAGGAAGAGGGGCTGCCTCTATTGCTCAGGACAGTTGTCTGGGGAGCCCTGAGAGGGACAGCGTGTAAAAAGAGGTTGTTAACGTTTGATAATCAAGGCCCTGTATTCGAAAAGGGTCTCGTGGCCTGGTTACTGGTCTGACTGTCTTTTCATTTGGTGTTTGGCTGTGTATCATTCATTTATATATATAGATCTGTTGCTAGGTTTGCAGTACTCCGTATTTCTCTAATGATCTGTAGGGGGCAGCAGACCTCAAGGGGAGGGGGAAGAAAAAGAAAATTAGCCTGGTTTCGTAGAGAGGACAGTACTTGGAGGTGGTAGGTAGATGGCTAAGACTAGAACTGGTAAGGGTAGGGAAACCTTCAGATCTCCTCCCTGCCACCTTTCCAAACCCCAGCTCTCTTACCCCCATGATGTTGCAGAAAATTGATAGGCTTTGCAAGAGAGGAAGGAAACATAAGAACCTAGATGAAATTTGCAAATAATACTTTTCATTGTTTTCCCAACCTCTGCGATTTGGACATTTCATCCCTGCTAACACTACTACTACCTTGTAGGGATGTTTGAGGTACCTCTGTATGGAAATTGTCAGACTTTGTGAATGGAGCAGAGGGACTTGGAGACTTAGGAGTAGGTGAAGAAGGGAGGTAGAAAATGTTTGCCAAACAGATACCTGTATCAAGAAAGGATCTGTGTCTTAGGTGCTGGTTTCTACGAAGGACTCAGTCTCCACTTTCCTATATCTCCATTTATTGATCTCTGTGTTGGTGAATCTCTGTGGATAGTTCTGTCCCTAGGTCTATGGAACTGTCACTTGTGAAGGTTTGTAAAATGGTACCTCTAACTTGAAGCTGGAAATAAGAAGAGAAAACTGCCCTGTATCTGTTAAGCTTGGTGTGAGGGTACAGAGACAGGGGGTGACTGAGACTAGAGAATTCCATCTCTTCTGTTTTGTCGGCTTACCAATAATGACTGTCTGCTCCTACCATCACTATTGTTTTAGTTGGGAGCCTTGGTAAGCTTTTCCCACTCCCTACTTGCTTGTCTTGATCTCTTGCTTCACCCTAGTCTATTTCTGAACTAGGGAAATGCCAGGGAAATCACTGAAGAGGAAAGTGGTGGGCAATAGGAAGGAGGAAGAGCAGCCCTGAAGCAGGACAATAGGGGGAAGAGACCAGGAGGAGGAAAACACTAGACAAACTGTATTTGGAAAGGCAAGAATAGGGGCCAGGGAGGGACCAAGGTCTGTCCACCAAGAGATCAGTTTCCATATTCTCCAATTTGTTTATTTGTCCATATATCTGCCCATAGGTCTGCTGTAGGGCTTATCACCACTGGAATCAAGGAGAGGAGCAGAAAATTACTCCAGATCAGTGCAGGTTGGTATGAGTGTGGGAACTGTCCAAGTAGACCTGTAGGAGGAGATAGTGGAGGTCTGCTTGGCTCCAGCAAGGGTCAAGAGCCAATCTAGGGGTTCCTCAGCCTCTCTCACCCAGCTTTCCTACTTGTCACGCTCTTTTTTGGTGCCTGGAAAGGAGATTGATAGCATTTGGAGGTGTAGGGAATGGGTAAAATTAAGGGAGAGAGAGTTTGCTAATAATCTACCTCTCCCACCTAGCACTGAATCTCCATACTCTCCTGTCTGTCTGTGCTAATCAGAATAAGGAGAAAAAATTGGAAGAGACTCAAAGCCCCATTTCCTTCCTCCACCCCTAGGTCCAACTTCAGTGGCAGATCTGGTGGCCTTGGAGTGGCTGAAGACCACCACCCTCCACAGGGCTGCGCCCAGGCACAGCCATCCTTCCCCACCTTGAGTGAACTTCCTCTGCATGTTTTCTGTATCACTGGCAGAGCCTGTAGTTGGAAAGGGGACTGAGTGACTACTGGACTTTGTATGAAAACACCAACCTGGGACAGACCTTCAGTCAAGGCTGAGACGGGTGGGGGTACATAACTTGGCCCTACCTTAAACTTGGACCATGGCTGGCTCTGGGGCTAAGGCAAGAACTAGAGGAGAGGCTGAGGCTGGCCTGAAAGCTGGAATCAGTGGCTCTGCCAATGCTAGAGTGAAGGCTGAGACCCAGGCCAAGGCAGTGGCTGAGGCAGAACCAAAAACAGAATTGGTGACCCAGGTCAAGGCTGGCGATGGAGCAATAGCCAGGACACAGACAATGACCTGCACTGAGGCTGTAGCTATGACAAGGGAAGTGAGCAACATGGAAGATATCACTAAGACTAGAGTCATGGCTGAGACTAAGACAAAACCCCCGTCAAGTGCCCTAAACCAAGTGCCCCAAACCAAGTCAAAGGCCATGCCTGTGTCTAGGGTCAGTGCTGTAGCCATTGAAGTCAGGGTTGGTACTGGCAGTGAGGCAAATATCAGGTCCTGTGCCAAGGCTGATGATAAGGCCAATGTTGGGTCCAGACCTGAGACAAAGGAAGAGGCCAACATCAGGGCCAGGGCTGGGGATGAAGCTGGTATTGGGATCAAATCCAGTGATGAAGATGAAGAAAATGTTTGCTCCTGGTTCTGGTCTGGAGAAGAACCTAGTGTAGGGTCCTGGTTCTGGCCTGAAGAAGAGACCCCTCCTCAAGTTTGTAAGTCCCTACCTAAGATACAGGAAAAGCCCAAGCCCCCACCCACACCCAAACTTACTACAAAACAAAAGGCAAAGGCATGGTTAAGGGCCAGGTATATTGTCCTAGTCCCAGTTGAGGGAGAGGAGCAGTCCTTGCCTCCAGAAGGGGACTGGACCCTGATTGACACCTTGATTGAAACTCCTTTGGGGATTCGGCCTCTGACCAAGATTCCACCTTATGATGGGCCTTACTTTCAGACCTTAGCTGAGATCAAAAAACAGATTAAGCAAAGGGAAAAGTATGGGCCTAATCCAAAGGCCTGCCGCTGCAAATCACGTGCCTTTAGTTTAGAGCCTGAAGAGTTTGATAAACTTGTTGCCCTACTTAAGTTAACTAGGGATCCTTTCATTCATGAAATAGCTACGATGACAATGGGCATCAGTCCTGCTTATCCATTTACCCAAGATATAATTCATGATGTAGGTATTACTGTTATGATTGAATACTTGGTCAAAAATCCTAACATTAAAGAACACCCTAGAGCTTTAAGTATGGTGGATGATAACTCTGAGTCCCCTGAAGAACCAGACGTAGGAGAGTCATACATACATCAGGTTTGTAAGGACATAATGTCTTATCCCTTGAACTCCCCTGGGCAACTGGCTGATCTAAAATTACTAGTGCACCTGAGTGTGAATTTTGAGGATCACCACGTGATTGCCAATTACATTCCAGATTTCCTCACCTTGTTAAATAAGGGAAATGTCAAAATCAAGTTTTATGTGTTAAAAGTGTTTTTGTGCTTGTCTAAAAATCAAGCCAATACAAGAGAACTGATCAGTGCCGAGGTACTGTCATCACTGGTTGCTCCCTTTAACAAGAATGAATCAAAGGCCAATATTCTTAATATCATTGAAATATTTGAGAATATAAATTTCCAATTCAAAAAAAAGGGGAAGCTATTTACCAAGGAAAAGTTCACTAAATCTGAACTTATTTCCATATTCCAGGAAGCAAAAAAGTTTGGTCAGAAACTACAAGACTTAGCAGAGCACAGTGATCCTGAGGTGAGAGATAAAGTCATACGGTTAATACTCAAGCTCTGAATACCCATCTGTTCTCATAAAATCTTGAACAGTTTTTTGGTGTTGCAATATGAAACCAATGCATATTATAATTATAAATTCTATGCTTATGTTTTCTGTGTTTATTGAGGGAGGCAATTTTATAGACACCAATTAATCTTGAGAGCTTGAATGCTTGTTGATTTTCATTGCGCTATATAATATAAATTGAAATATTTTTAGTATTCCTGCAATGTGACCCAATAATGAACCTATACATCCTGAGTAAGCTATACTTCTATGCTTTATATTGATATAAATGTATTCTTTTGAGATTTTATTTACATGTTAATAAAGTTACATGCTAAAACTGGTGAAAACATTGTCCTAGTTATTCAGTTGAAATCTAGTCAGCGGGATAAAAGCACAAACATCATAAAGATGGTGAGGAGCCCTGTCTGTGTCTGTGTGTCTGTAGAGGGTCACAAACAAAATAAGTTCACGTTGACAGATTTCTTTTGTTTCAACATGTTCAAGGAGTAGACTTGTATGCAAGAAGATAGGACAGTGCTACTAGCTGTCTGTAGGTTCTGACTGATAGGGCTTCAAGTGAGGAATGGAGCCCTGTCTGGGCAGCTCTGGGGAAGGAAGTAAGGAGGCACCTCAGGAGGAAGGGAACACAGATGCTTTCATTCCAGTCTGAGTCCCAGAACTTGTGTTCAGCCTTTCACATAGGATGTCTCATCAGGATGCCTTGAAGCTTTTTAACCCCCAAGAGGATTCCTGGTTCTCACCTTCATTCAGCAAAGCCATGGATAGCTGCGTGGGAAGTGTGGTTCTGAAGGGACCCAATCCTACTGTGCCCTCAATAGCTCCTTCCCTATCCAGGGGTACCAAATTTACTGCCTCATCTAAGATTCCCTTGCTCTGCAGTCCTGGGCCTCAGAGGAGGGTCTTTCTAGGGATCATCTGAAGAAACTTCTTCATAGTCTCATCTGCCCTGCCTTGGTGACTGTTGGCTTTCATCCTTGCTTTTGTTTTCTCCTTTTGTTTCATGGACTTGGTGATTTGTAACTGTCCTTGGTGGCAGCCCCTTGTTTGTGCTAATCCTTTTTGGTCAGAGCTCAGCTCTATGTATGACTCAGCCACAGGATACCAAAGTCCTTTAGGAGTGTGTAATTTCTTCCCTTTAGGGAGAAATTAATTCTCACAATCCTACTATTCTATCTATTTACATAGTTGACAGAGCTGAAGCCATGTTGTCTGTACTACCTCAGCTGGTCCTGTTTATACTTAACCAAATCTGTATTGTAGGTAGGGGTTTGTGTATAGAATGACATAGTATAGATTGGGATCTGGGGTCACTTCTACTCCTACCCTCTACCTCTTTTGCTGTTAATTTGCTGCCCAGAATTTGGAAATGTTGATATCAGGATCAGTGTACCAGTGCTGGTCATTCTGTTGATCTTCCTCTCTCTCCTAACTTGTTATGCATTTAGGGGAAGGCCTAAACTGGAAAATCTCAATGTGATGTAATATACCTCTAGTTTTAACAGCTATCCCTAGTTAATTTCTATTAAAGTCAGGCATGAACCTGTCTTTCCTACATCTAGGAGTTAAAATGAAGGACAATCGGCTACACCTTGTGCATTAAGAGGGGAAAAAAAAACAGTAGGTTTTTTTGCAATGTACAGCTTCAATTTAGATGATTTTTGAAGTTCTTTATAACTTATTTTTTAATCCACAGAACTTCCCTAGCCTGTAATACCAGCTTTGGGTACTGTTCTCAGTGTTGGAGATCTTCACAATACAATCGGACCAGATCCTTTGGAAATATTGTGTCTCAAATGCCCTGTGGAGCACATACTTAATCAGTTGATGGCTATGGAATTTTCCAACATCAGCTAAAGAGAAGGGTGAGTGTGGAGTGTGTATTTGTGTCAAAGCAAGAAGTTAGTGGTCTCTCCTTTCCCAGATTGTTCCTAGGGTGTCATCTGTTGATGGACACTTAGGTTGTTTCTATCATTTGGCTATTACAAATAATTCTGCAGTGAACACTGTAGTACAAGTATCTATTTGAGTCCCTGATCTCCATGCTTTTGAGTATATACCTAGAAGTAGGATTGGTTGGCCATATGGTATGTTTAGCTTTTTGATGAATTGCCAGACTGTTTTCCACAGTGACTGCACCATTTTGCATTCCCATCAACAACACACAATTTATCCACTTTTTGTCAATAGTTGTGATTTTCCATTATTTTTAAAATATCTGTCCTGGTAGGTGTGAAGTGGTTTTAATTTGAATTTCTCTAATGACTTATGATGTTGAGCATCTTTTCATGTACTTATTGCCCTTTTGCATATCTTCTTTGGAGTAAGTATATTCAAGATGTTTGCCAATTTTTTAATTGGGTTGTTTGTTTTTTTACTGTTGCATTGTAGGAGTTTTTTTCACATATTCTGGATACAAACCCCTTATTAGCTATATGATTTACAAATATTTTCTTCTATTCTGTAGGTTGTTTGTTCACTTTTAATGTTGTGTTTTGATGTGCAAAAGTTTTTAATTTCAATGAAGTCTAATTCATCTGTTTTTTTCTTTTGTTACTGGTGTTTTTGGTGTCATATCTAAGAATTCATTGCTAAATTCAAGGTCAGGAAGAGATTTACCCCTATTTTCTTCTAAAAGTTTTATAGTTTTAACTTATGTTTAGGCTGTTGATCCATTTCGAGTTAACTTTTATATATGGTATGCGGAAGGAGTCCAACTTTATTCTTTTGCATATGGAAATCCAGTTGTCCCAGCACCATTTGTTGAAGAGTCTTTTCTTTCCCCATTAAATGGACTTGGTACTATTGTCAAAATCAATTGGCCTTGGACTTGTGGGTTTATTTCTGGAGTCTCAATTCTATTCCATTTGTCTCTATCTGTCTTTATGCCAGTACTTCAGTATTTTTTAAATTTTTAATTGACACATAATAATTATACATATTTATGGGGTGTAATGTGATATTTTAGTTCATTGATACAATGTGTAATGATCAAATCAGGGTAATTAGTATATGTCTCCTCAAACGTTTATCATTTCTTTGTTTTGGGAACATTCAAAATCCTCTTTTCTAGCTATTTGAAAATACAAACTAAATTATTGCTAACTGTAGTTACCCTACGGTGCTATAGAGCACTAGAATTTCTTCCTCCTGTCCCTCCCTCATCCCTCCCCTTCCCAGCCTTTAGTAACCACTATTCTAATCTCTACTTCTATGAAACAACTTTTTTAGCTTCTACATATGAATGAGAACATGTGGTATTTATCTTTCCGTTCCTGGATTATTTCACTTAACATAATGTCCTCTAGGCTCATCCATGTTGCCACAAATAAGAAAATTCCATTCTTTTTTTATAGCTAAATAGTGTTCCATTATGTGTATATACCACATTTTCTTTATCCACTCATCTGTTGATGGACACTTAGGTTGATTCCGTACCCTGGCTGTTGTGAATAATGCTACGATAAACATGGGAGTACAGATACCTCTTTGGCATACTGATTTCTTTTCCTTTGGATATATACCTAGTAGTGGCATTGCTGGATCATATGGTAGTTCTGTTTTTAATTTTTTGAGGAACCTCCATACTGTTTTCCATAATGGCAGAAGTTACATTCTTCTCAACAGTATATAAGAGTTCCCTTTTATTTATATCCTCTCCAAGCAGTTGTTACTTTTTTTCTTTTTGATAATAATCATTTTAACTGGGGTGAGATGATATCTCATTGTGGTTTTGATTTTCATTTTTCCGATGATCAGTGATGTTGAGGATTTTTTTCATGTACTTTTTGGCCATTTGTGTATCTTCTTTTGAAGTATGGTCTATTCAGATCAATTTGGCCATTTTTAAATCAGATTATTTGGTTCTTTTGCTGTCGAGTTGTTTGAGTTCCTTGTACAGTCATGTGCTGCATAATAATGTTTCAGTCAACGATGGACCGCATATATGAGGGTGGCCCATTAAGATTATAATACCGTATTTTTACTGTACCTTTTATATGTTTAGATACACAAATATTTACCATTGTATTACAGTTGCCTACAGTATTCAGTACAGTCACATGCTGACAGGTTTGTAGCCTAGAAGCAATAGGCTATACTACATAGCCTAGGTGTGTAGTAGGCTATACAATCAGGTTTATGTAAGTACACTCTATGGTGTTCTCACAATAATGAAATCACCTAACGACGCATTTCTCAGAAAGTATCCCTGTTGTTAAGCAAAATATGACTGTATATTCTGGATATTAATCACTCATGAGATGAATAGTTTGCAAATATTTTCTCCCATTCTACAGGTTTTCACTGCACTCTGTTGACTGTGTCCTTTGCTGTGCAGAAGCTTTTTAGTTTGATATAATTCCATTTGGCTTATATCTTTTGTTGTCTGTGGCTTTGAGGCCTTATCCATAAAAGTTTTGCCCAGACCAATGTCCTAAAGTGTTTCCCTTATGTTTTTTTCTAGTAGATCCATAGTTACATTTAAGTGTACAATCTATTTTGAATCGTGCTGGGAAACCTGGATATCCATATATAGAAGAATGAAACTAGTCCTCTATGTCTCATCAAGTACTGTAGTGCTTTGGTTAAAGTAGCCTTGTAGTAAATTTTGAAATCAGGAAGTATGAGTGCTCCAACCTTGTTCTTTTGCTTTAACATTGTTTTTGTTATTCTGAATCACTTTCTGTTCCATGTGAATTTTAGAATCACCTTTTCCACTTATACAAAAAATGTCGTTGAGATTTTGATAGAGATTGCATTGAATCTGTAGATTACTTTGGAGGTATTACCATTTTGATGATACTAAGTTTCCAATCCATGAACACAGAATACCTTTCCATGTATTTAGGTCTTTAATTTCTTTTAGCAATATTTTATAGTTTTAGGTATATAAATCAATATCTCCTTATTTAAATTTATTCTTAGGTATTTCATTCTTTTATATATTATTGTAAATGGAATTGTTTTCTTACTTTCCTTTTCATATTGTT